TTGGGGTCTCTTTCGTGCAGGTCTTTCCTTTTCCGACACCAACAACTTGGAAAATGTGCAAGAAGGCAGAGCTAAGTCAACCCAAGAACAAATTGATGAAGTTAAAATCAAATTAGTAGAATTTGTGAGCTATGTAATAGAATAAAGATTGGTTGACTATGTAATAACTATTGACTCTTCAAAAAACTAAAGATAATAAAACGATGGTTTTATTGGAAAAACCGTCATCTGTATATATTATCAATGACCTCTTTTAACACCATAACGTCTTTTTATATACAATCAACGACGGTTTTACTAAAAAATCGTTGTCTTAGAGTTAATAGACGACAATATTTCAAGAAATCGTCGTCTTCACATTTAATAGATGATGGCTTTTTAACAAAACCGACGTCTTTGGATATAATAAAACATAGTTCTTTACTTAATAATAGACGACCCTTTTTATAAAAACACCGTCGTCTTTATATATAATAGACGTCCCTTTTTATATGAAAAGGGTCGTCTTTACTTCATAATAGACGACCATTTTCATATAAAAAGGGTCGTCTTTACTTCATAATAGACGACCATTTTCATATAAAAAGGGTCGTCTTTACTTCATAATAGACGACCCTTTTTATAAAAAAAACCATCGTCTTTACATATAATAGACGACGGTTTTTATATAAAAAGGGTCGTCTTTACTTCATAATAGACGACGGTGTTGAGTAAAAGCGTCGTCTATTTACATATAATAGACGACGGTTTTGAGTAAAAGCGTCGTCTTTACAAATAATAGACGACGAGGATTTACCGTCGTGGTTTTATGCATCAAAAGATGTCGCTCGATTTCACGACGGTTGAAAAACCGAATACACGACAGTTGATTACCGTCGTCTATTTCGATTTTTGTAGTAGTGGTAATTAACACCCATCCTGTTGTGAAATTATTGCAAGCGCACAATTCGCACAAGTAATATAGAAATAAGTAGAGTGTCATTCCCACGAAGACTGTAATTTCCTATTAATTACCAATTATGATTAATTCAAAAGTTTATCTGAACAATTGATTAAGAAGATTGATTGATTTAAGTAACCTAAAATAATTATGAAAAATAGCAATTTAATTAATGATAGAAAATTAAGATGATGAGACACTAGAGCATCCGATTTCACCATAACCAATTCCACTTAATTCTTATAGCCAATTAACCCTAATTACTACCCATGTTGACAGTTGGTTTCTCCTAATTCATTCGATATCCCCTCTCGGTCTCAACCAAAAGTATTCTTAATTAACAACCCATTCTCTCTCGAGCAACAGATTTAGAAAATCAAGAACCCATTAAGTTTTATGAGAACCTGCAAGAAAAATGCATGAGTCATGTTAGTCCCTCTCGGGCACTCATTCAAGACATGGTATTTGTTACGAGAATCAAACACCAAATATCTCCTCTCGGTCTCTGCTTGGATCATCAAATCAATTAAATATTGGCCAGATATTCAAAGCATTAAGAACAGTAACAAATACTCAACATGGAATAGCAATAAGAAATTAATAGAACTATAAAAATTAAGTATTCATGGTTAGGCTACATCGTAGCCCTAGCAAGGAAAATTAGTTCATGACAAAAGAAAAGATAAACAAGAGAATTGTTGTCATAAAACTGATTTGGCAGATGGATTTGATCTCTAGATTCTCCACAGCAACACCTTCGTAAGCTCCAAAAGCACTGGGACAGCAAACTCTTGGCTCTCGCTCTGATATATTTATTGGTGTATGAAAGTTGTATATGGGAAGATGATGATATGAAGAGATCCTCGTAGAGGGAGCTTAGGGTGATCTTATATAGTGTAAAACAATTAAACCCTACTCTTAAAAGGTCTGGAAAAACTCTCCTAAAGCAAAACAAAATCCCAAACAATTAAGGAAACCAACTAGGAAAGAATCCTTCTTTGACTTGGAAACACGTCAGCCAACTTACATGCACGTTTTGGGGTCGTTCCACTTCCTAGAAAATTCTGGAAAAATATGAGAAACATAGCTTTATCTCTAAGCTTTCCAAGCATATATTACACGCCACTAGGAAAAATCGGAAAGGTCTTCAAATCTTCAATCTTCCACAGCAGTGCAGTTCTGACGCGATTTCAACTTAGGCTGTCTTGACTTGCAAGTCTGGAGCATTTGGCTTAGTAGAAAATTATGAAACTTTGATACAATGATCTTCAATGTCTTAGCTTTCTTCTCCAATTGGCCTTGCGCTAAAATTTATTCGAAAAGTCGATTTTCAATCAAAATCCTTCCAAGAGTGCAGAATAGCTGAAAATAAGGAAAGTAAGGTAATAATGCTCTTTTTAATTTACTTTCCCTACAAAAACCAAATAAACGAGGTATAAAAATATAGGAAATAATACACTTATCACATCCCATAGACAAATCTCTCAATGGATTATGCCAACTCGAACAAGTCAATAGTAACTATCAAAAAAGATAACAAACAGAAAAGATTACATAAAAGATGAAGTATAATAACAGTCATTAGCTAAAGACATAAATGGGTGGACTCCACCAAGCTAATTGCAACTAGCCAAACTTTCCTCTTTGTAAGATGGGTTCAGAATAGGACATTATCTTATCTTAAATCACTTTATGTGGTCTTCCAATCACAGAAAGCTTGTATCGATTAGGAGCATGACTAAAGCCTATCTAATAAACCTTGTATAAGTGCAGTTTCAATGGAATACAAGGACTGTGAAAGGCTCTGAATGAATGAAGAATTATGGCTCATACAATATGGCCAATATATGGCTAAATTTTGTTTGTTCATGACTAAGTCATCTTGTCCAAAATGCCCAAATGAACAACTTCAATGTCCAAGCAAAGTATTCATGACAGATGCAGCAAATGTTTACACCAGCAGTGGCAAGTCCTCGTTGTTTGGGCAAGAAAATCTCTTTTAATGCTAGCCTCCCCTTCATGAAATTTGTTCATTTGGATGTCTACTACAACATATCCAAAATTCGCAGAATTTCGATAAGTATTGAGTCTTCAAGACATAAAATACTGAAGCATATTTTCCAGCCCGATTGAGCTACAGTACCAGCCCGATGAGCCAAAATGAGAAATTTACAGAACTCAAATGAATTGGCTTGCTTCATGAAAGTTGTTTATCTAGATGGTTCCTATAACATATCCAACATTGGCCTTTTTTGGATAAGTATTGAATCCTCAGAGAAGCAAATACCAGATGACTACAACAGTAAAATTTGTTCGTCTATGTGTCTAGTATCTTGTGTCCAAATGGGGTGGCATTTAGACAAGTATTGAATGCTCACGGAATTAGACACTGAAGTCTGGTCGAAGGCAATGTCTGTGACAACCAGTCACTTGCAGTCATGCCAAATCGTATTTTCCATTCCTCAAAATGGATACGAGTTCTTCATGACAATTGTTTCTAGGTGTGTGTAGAAAAATATATCCAAATTTAGTAGCTTTTGGATAAATATAGCCTACTCGGGTTGTCACATATCAAAACAGGTTTGGAAAAGAAGTTAAATGACCTAGTGGCCAACTTTTGTTAAGTCAATGCAGGTGCATGAGTTAGCTTGAAGATCTAGGCTTATTAAAAAATGAATGATAAAATAAGCTTGCTAATGGAGTGAAACAAAGTTTGTCTTGGAAGATATTTTGAATTGCCTATGGAGCTTCACCTAGGAAACAACACCAGGGCAACTTTTCTGGTTTTGCTTGCATTTTTAGCAACCCACTCACCAAAATCAATGGTAAGTAGGTACTTCTCATTGGTTGCTGGTCCCAACACTCAACCCACCTCATTTTATCTATAAATAGAAGGATAAGTGATCAACAATCTGCTAAAATATGAATATGGTTTGAATGTATTAGGTTAATTTTATTCTTCTCCATAAGGAGGTATATATAAGAGTTTACATGAGTGCTTTACAAGGAATTAGATACAGTAAAAAATTAGGAAAGTATCTCCTAATTATACAATGATTTATCAATTATATAAAATAGGGAAGTAAATCCCTTAATTAATCAAGGAAATAAATATCCTTGATTAATTAGGAGACTCACGTCAACACTCCTCCTCAAGTTGGTGCATATACGTCACCAATGCCCAACTTGGTAAGTGAGTCATGAAATACTCTTCAACAAACAGCTTCGGTTAAGATATCTGCCAATTGATCTTCTGATCTTACGAATGGTAGGCGGATGATCTTCTTCTCAATTTTTTCTTTGATAAAATGTCTATCCATCTCAACATGTTTAGTTCGATCATGTTGAACTGGATTATGGGCAATATCGATGGTTGACTTGTTATCACAATATAACTCCATTGGCTTTTCTAGCTTGAAACCCAATTATGTCAATAATCTTCTGATCCATAGTAATTCACAAACTCCATGAGCCATTCTTCGATACTCTGCTTCAGCATTAGACCGAGAAACCACATTTTGTTTCTTACTCCGCCAAGTGGCTAGGTTACCTCCCACAAAAGTGAAGTAACTTGAAGTAGAGCGTCTGTCAGTAACGGAGCCAGCCCAATTAGCATCTGTATATCCAACAACTTTGAGATCTCTATTTTTTGAGAACATTAATCCTTTCCCAGGTGCTGACTTTAAGTATCTTAAGATCCGATCAACTGCATTCCTATGGGACACACTAGGTGAATGCATAAATTGACTAACCACACTCACAACATATGCAATATCTGGTTTTGTGTGGGCTAAATATATCAACCTTCCAACAAGGCATTGGTATTGTTCCTTATTGGTTGGTTCTTGATCCATGTATTCACATAACTTATGATTCATCTCGATGGGTGTATCAGCAGGTTTGCATCCAAGCATTCCTGTTTCAGTGAGCAGATCTAATATATACTTCCTTTGAGACAGAAATATACCAGTTGTGGACCTGGCTACTTCAATTCCTAGAAAGTATTTCAGATCACCTAAATCCTTCATCTCAAATTCCTAAGACAAATACTTCTGCAGTTTCAGTTGCTCTCCTATGTCATTTCCAGTTACGATTATGTCATTCACATAAACAATCAATGTAGTAAGTCTTCTTCCATCACGCTTCAAGAACAAAGTGTGATCTGCATTACTCTGTATATATCCAAAATTCTTCATGGATTTAGTGAATCTGCCAAATCATGCCCTGGGGGATTACTTTAACCCATACAATGACTTTATGAGCTTGCAAACTTGATTCTCCGTGTCACGAGCTAAGTTACATCATGGTGGTAAGTCCATATATACTTCTTCTTTCAAGTCTTCATGTAAGAATGCATTTTTTACATCAAACTGATGTAATGGCCAATCGAGATTTACTGCTAGAGACAGAAGGACTTTGATAGTTTTAATCTTGGTTATTAGGGCAAAGGTCTCTTGGTAGTCTATCCTATATCTTTGTGTGTACCCCTTCACCACCAATCTAGATTTATATCTTTCAATGGATCTATCTACTTTGCATTTCACAATATAAATCCACCTGCATCCCACTGTATTCTTTCTATGAGGTAATGGCATGAGTTCCCATGTGCCATTCTTCTGGAGAGCTCGCATTTCTTCATTCATGGCTTCTTTTCATTTTGGGTCTTCTAGTGCTTCAGTTACACTGTTGGGAATAGGTATGTCAGCCAACTGCTTCACAAAGTGTACCCGTGTCTCTGATAATCTACTAATGGATACATAATTGTTGCTGGGATATTTCCCTTTTGCATTAAGATTTGCTTCGTAGTGAACTGGAGATTTTTCACGGTTCTTCCGTTTTGGAATCTGATATGCAAGCTCTGTGACTTCTGAAATTAAATCTGTTGGCGCTAAATCTTGAATAGATAGAGATGAGTGCAACTTACAAATGGGATGGACGATCGAGAGATCGATTGAATATTGGATGCCGATTCTTCCTGTCCTTGGATGTTGATCCTGAGTAGAAAGAAGTCGAGACTCGTAAGGTCTATGGAACCGGTGTGGAACCAGCCTAAGACCCTCCGATGCTGAAGTAAGTTTGTTGTTTTAAGAGCTCTTGTTGTTGACCATATAGAAGTATAAAAGTCAAGTTGAAAAGTCTTACCCCTGTATTGTAGTGGGAGGGGCATATTTATAGAGGGCATTTAGTATGCTCTTAGTGCTCATTTTCGATGTGGGACTCGTGGGAGGGCCCTATGAGGTTGACACGAGTCCTTAGATATTTCAGGCGGGTGCTTCGAGGTTGATTCTGCAGAATCGGTAGGGGATACCGATTGTAGGTTGTGTCCGGCTTGTAATGATCTTTTGCTGCTTTGAGACAATATCATCAGTAGCATATGCCGATTGTCCGAGGCCTTGGGTGCTTGGGCGAGTTTATGAGATCCACGTGTCGTTGTACGAGTGGAGGGTCAGATATGGTACAAACAAAATCATCATGGGATATTTAATTAATGTTATCAGGTTCAGGAAAAGATGTTACCTGAATAACGTCCTAGGTGATTGGTGTGGTACTGGAGCTGAAGAATTCTCTGGAGCGGGCAAAAACTCCTCAATTTTCTCCTCCTGAGTTTGAGAGCAGGGAGACGACTGGTTGCGGTCCTCTAGTGATCGGTCGTTTTGAAGCAGATCAGGCGTAGACGGATTTCCGGGGAGCGACCGGTCGCTTTTAACCTTCGACCGGTCGCTTTCAGGCAGATTCTCTTGCGACCGATCTCTTGCATCCTGCGACCGGTCGTTTTCAGTCTGTGACGATTCTGAAGGAAAAAGTTCTGAAATTTGAGAAGTGTTGGCATCGCGATCCTCCTCCTGTACGGCTGAAAAATATATGTAGTGTTTTTGGAACACAACATCCATAGAAGTATAGACTTTCTGACTATGAGGATGATAACAGCGGTACCCTTTTTGATGATGTGCATAACCAATGAAAACACACTTTTCGGCGTAGGGATACAATTTGCTGTGTTAGTAATCATGTAAGTGGACAAAGACCACACAACCAAAAATCCGAGGTTCCAGATTTTGGGTAGGAGGTATTTGGATATGGTGGTGGAGTGTTTGAAGGGGGGTTTGGAAATTTAGGATACTGGAGGGAATCCGATTGATAATGTATGCAGCAGAGAGAACGACGTCCCCCCAAAAGGGCCTAGGCATATTGGCACAAAAAAGAGAGGCATAAACTACTTCCAATAAGTCTATATTCTTTCGTTCAGCCACACCATTCTGGTGGGGAGTGTAAGAGCATGAGCGTTGATAGATGATGCCATGATCTTGAAAGAACTTATTAAGATCATGGTTGAGAAATTCTCTGCCATTGTCGGAACGAAGAACCTGAATTCTAGTATGAAATTGTGTCTCCACCATTTGATAGAACTATTGAAACTTGGAACTAACTTCCCCTTTTGTTTTGAGAAGGGAAACCCAGGTCATGTGTGTGCAATCATCAATAAATGTAACAAACCATCTAGCTCCCCCTGGAGTGGTAATTTTAGCAGGGCCCTAAGCATCAAAATAAACAAGAGAAAAGGGAACCAAACTTTTATTTGAACTTAAGGGAAAAGGAACACGATGGCTCTTGGCCAGTTCACAAATGTCACACTTAAAACTGGAATTATCTAAATTGGAAAATAAGGAAGGAAATAGCTTATGTAAATATCCAAACGAAACATGTCCAAGACGGCGATGCCATAACCATACTTTTGAAGTTTGCTTCTCAACACTCGCACCCCCAATTTTGTAAGCTTGACTGCGGCTAGCTTCACTGTCAGATGCCAAGTCCATATAGTAGAGTTTGCCCCTCCTAGTACCACAACCAATCGTCTTGCTACTGAGAATGTCCTGAAAAACACAATGAGTAAGCCAAAAGGTTACAGTGCAATTCAAAACCGTAGTAATTTGGGCAACATACAAGAGATTATGATGTAAGGATGAAACAATCAACACAGAATCCAAAGTGAGGGAGTCAGAGAGAGAGAGGGAACCCTCCCCAATTATTGGAGAGGAGGTATCATTAGCATTAGACACCACCGATTGAGAAGACGGTGTATGAGAGGTAATTTGTCTAGGATAAATGTCATGTGATTAGTGGCTCCAGTGTCAATGACCCATGTGTGTTTCTTTGAAGAACTATGCAAAACATAACCTTGGGTACCTGTTGTGGCTACAGTGGCAGGGCGGGACGGTGCAGTTGGAATAGCAGGACTTATAGGATTTGAGGCGGAAGATGTGTTGAGTGATTTGCTCCTATTCTTGCAGGGAGCTTTGGAGTGGTCCCACCAATCCGGGTACCCAATCAATTCGTAACAGCCAACACGAGTATGTTTGCTTCCACCACAGTGAGTGCATTTGTCCTCCAGACGAGAGATTGTGACTTGAGTATGAGAAGTGCCACTGGTAGAGGGCGGAGGGCCCTGTGGACGTTGAGTGGCCATGACCGCAGTTTCTGGAGTACTGGCCATGGTCAGTCGTTGTTGAGCTTTGCGACGTACATATGCAAAGGTTTGGTTAAAGTCTAGTTTGGGATCTTTGCGCAGGATTTCCCTCTGGACTTGATCAAATTGAGGGTCGAGCCCGGCAAGAAAAAGGTGAACACGAAGATGATCTAGTTCTGTCTAACGTTCAGTCACGTCGGCGTCGCAGTGCATGTGATTTAGAGTGCGGTGATCAATCTCCCGAAAGATGATCTGTAGCTGACTGTAGTATTTGTGGACAGGTGCATCATTCTGTTTAATGGTGAACGCCCGTTTGTTGAGATCAAAAAGGAAAGTTTCATCCCTACCATCAAAGTAGGTTTTCTTCACAGCATCCCAGATTTCTTTGGCGGTACTTAAACGGATGAAACGACTCATCAGGTCAGGAGACATGGAGTCGATGAGCCACCCCTTAACTCGAAAGTTCTCCGTACACCATTTGCTGTAGGTGGAGGAGAGCTTAGAAGGTTGCAGGGCGTCGCCGGTTAGGTACCCCAATTTTTCGCGGGCAGCAATTCGCATCTCCATGACTTGAGGCCATAAAGCATAATTAGTCTCTGTCAAGATGATGTTGGAAGGAAATGGAGTGTTGTCACTATGAATAGTAACAATTTGGGAGGATGGTAGAGTGGAGTCGGTGGCTTTGGAAGATGAGACAATATCCATGGCAGCGGAAGGATTTAAGAATAAGAGAAAAGTATGTGTTTAGGGTTTTGTGATAAGAGGATATGAGGATTTGGGTATGAAGATCTAAATCTGAAGCTGTAAATATGAGGAATTTGATTTAGGGTTTGGGTGTGAAGAAATTTGATATGAGATTTAAAGACAACTGATGATCGATTGCTCTGATACCATGCTAAAATATGAATATGGTTTGAATGTATTAGGTTAACTTTATTCTTCTCCATAAAGAGGTATATATAAGAGTTTACATGAGTGCTTTACAAGGAATTAGATACAGTAAAGAATTAGGAAAATATCTCCTAATTATACAATGATTTATCAATTATATTAAGGCTTTTTATCACAAATGGTCCTTCACGTTTACGAAATTATCACGAATGGTCCTTGAGGTTTTTTTGTGACACTAATAGTCCTTAACGTTTGGGATTTTTATCGCAAATGGTCCCTGCCGTTATAAATTCTGTTAAGTGTGACGTGGCAGATATGTGGAGCCCACATGTCCAATCACATTGTGACATGTGGATAAAAAATAATTAAATAATTAAAAAAAAAAAATCAAAATTCCATTTTTTTTTTTCTGCAACTTTTCATCCCCATTTTTTCTGGTGAAAAGCTCTACTGTCGTCTTACCGTCAACACGCAACTCTTGTCTCGGGTCTCCCACCCACTCAAAGTTGGAAGGAACAACTTTCGCCCTTGGCCTAAGGTAGATTCCTCTGTCGTTCGAATTGAACCCTGGAAACTACCTTTTGAAGTGAACCAAAATGAGTGGGATGGCTTTTTACGGATCTGTTTCAATAGGAAGAACAAAACGCTTGGCTCAATTTTTAGGCAGAAAAGTGTCATCAATTTGCTAGAGAAGAATTACAAGACCTTGCAGGGGGCTTAATCTTGCACCAGCCCAACAAGGTGCCTTGGAGGATACTAATGATGTGGTGGATTTTTCAGATGAGGACAGAGGGAGAAGAGATGGAGAGCAAAGGCAGAGGGGGAGAGAGATGGAGTAAGGAAGGGGGATGAAAAGTTGCAGAAAAAAAAAGGAATTTTCATTAAAAAAAATTAGGAATTTTCATTAAAAAAATTATTTAATTATTTTTTATCCACATGTTACAATGTGATTGGACATGTGGACTCCACTTATCTGCCACGTCACACTTAATTGAATTTATAACAGCAGGGATCATTTGTGATAAAAAGCCCAAACGTTAAGGACTATTAGTGTCACAAAAAAACCTTAAGGATCATTCGTGATAATTTCGTAAACGTGAAGGACCATTTGTGATAAAAAGCCTTATATTAAATAGGAAAGTAAATCCATTAATTAATCAAAGAAATAAATTTCCTTGATTAATTAGGAGACTCACGTCAACACAATCAACACACACAACTCTCTCAAACAGACTCAATGTCTTTAACACTTGAAAACCTCAAGCTTGAAACAACTTACCTTCCTGTCAAGATAACTGTTGGGGTCTTTTTCCGTCGGAAGGCTCATTCGGGCTTGTTGATTCTCGGACCACCATAGAGTGGTAGATCAAGCCTTCGTTGCCCCTTTTTCTGAGTTAGCGAGGACTAGGCCCAAAGCATCCCGAGGGAGAAGCATGTCCCAGGGGAGTACTTTGTTCTTCTTCCAGCGACTGCGTATTTGGTGCTGACGTTTTCGGCAGCTTGACGAAGAGTTGAAGATGACTTGCTAATGTTTTCGGCAGCTTGATGAAGAGTTAAAGATGACTTACTGATGTTGATATGAAATTATATGAGCTTGGCATGAGAGCTTGGAGTGTGGGAGCTAAAGATCCACAAGTTTAGCAAATGAGAATGCATGTGCTTGGCTTGGTGTTGGATATGCTTGAGTTTGGGTGTTGATAATTTGTTGTTTGTGGGTATGATGTTTATAGCTTGGAAGTAAGGGAAAACTTGGAGTAATGCTTGGTGAGGCTTTATGAATTTAAGAGTTTCAAGAGAAGGATAATGGGAGGAAAAGCTTGAGGTTTGAAGGTTATGGTGTTTATAGCTTGGAAGGAAGGAACGTGGTTTGATGGTTGCTGGGGTGCTTGAGCAACCAAGAGGTGTTGGTCGATGCATCCCAGCAGCCAAAGGATGAAGGTTGATGGTTGGGATGGCCGCTAGAACGCTTGCAGCAGCTGAAAGGAGGAAGGAAGATGAGTTCTCATGGTTGCTGAGAAGCTTGCAGCCACCAAGAGAGACTGATTTTGCCCAACAAATGACTCCCAATTTATAGAGGGTGAGGGTTTTCCTTTATTTCCAATAGGCAAAGAGAGTTGCTGGAACCAGCCTATTTCCAATGGGTAAAAGGGAGCGCTAGGGCATGCTATTTTCCAACAGGCGAAGCTAGGTACCATAAACTGATTATTTCCTATGGGTAAAAGGAAGCGCTGGAAATGGCTTGTTTCCAGTGGGTAATAGGGAGTGCTGAAAAAGGCTTGTTTCCAATGGGTAAAGCTAGGCATTTGGAAAACGACTATTTCCTATGGGTAAAAGGAAGTGCTAGAAAAATATCTCAAATTGGAGAACTCTAAGTAATGGGCTTGGACTTTGGTGCTCCCAAGTAGCTAGAGCATCAAAGTCTCCATTATCCAAGAGCTTTCATGGGCCTTGTGGACCTCCGTAACCTTCCACACCACAATCCCTCGTGCAAGCCCCGTAAACCACATGACTTGGGTTCATGTGAGCTTGATAGATGATTGACATATGAAAAATGTATTATTGGCCTCGCATGGCATGGACACTATTATTTATTTAATTAATTAATACACAAAATACAACTTGGATTAACGCATGACCAACATTTTATGTTATTTTGGGCTTTAAATGTCTTTGGGCTTCTCGTGACTTTTTTGGGCCTCAACAATAACCAGTTGACAACTCTTGATTGTTATCTTTTTATTTTTATGCTCTGCCAACACTTGGTATCTTTTTATTGTTATCTTTTTGGAATTTGGTTTTCGAGATTTTCTAAAATATTGAATTTATGAAATAGGGATTGTGTGGTTTTGAAGAATGTTGAATATGTGGAATTGGGATTGCGTGGTTTTGAAGTTTTGAAGAATGTTGAATATGTGGCTGGTGGTGAGGTGAGGAGGGGAGGTCAGTTCGTGGTGTTGGGTGGGTGGTCTGGTGGTTGTTTGTTGGGCTTGTTTTTTTCTTCTAATTTTTTGTTTTTATTTTTACTTTTATTATTTTTGACTTAACTGTGTTAACTTAGAGTTAAGTGAGCGTCCAAGTGTCAATAATTAGCTAAGGGATAGAGAAGTCAATTAAAGTGGGTGGAGAAAGAGAATAAGTGGGTGGAGAATTCAGAGCATGTATTTAGGTAAAGCACGCTGTGCTGTCTTTTCAATTTAAGAGTCCAGCCTCCTTGACCTTGTAGCTTTGAACAGAGTCAATGAGCGTCTCTTTCAATTCATGATTATTTTTATTTAGGGAGCTTTAGTAATATACCCAAAATAGGGGCTGAAATTATATAAAAAAAACCCTACATGGAATGCACTTTAGAAACACACCCAAAAACCATTTACTACATATGAAATTAGTATTGAAGTTCCTATACATTACATCTCTGCCATTGATTAACTTAAAACAAGCCCAAAACAAAATTCCTAAAAAAACCCAAAACAAGCCCAATGAGCCCATATCAAATTTTTTTGAAAAAACCAAACTTAAAATAATAAAAAATTAAAAAATCAGAAAACCAAGGGTTTGTCCCCACGGCCCTTCATTCTCCATCAAACCTCCACAAACCATGTCATAGAAGTGCATTGTTAATACCATGTCATAAAAGTACATTGTTAATACCATGTCATAAAAGTGCATTGTTAATATCATGCTATAGAAGTGCTTTGTTAATACCATGCTATAGAAGTACATTGTTAATACCATTTCATAGAAAAACATTGTTAGTACCATTTCATTCAAAAAAAACATTGTTAATACCATTCCATACAAATAAAAACATTGTTAATACCATTTCATACAAAAAAACCATTATTAGTACCATTTCATACAAAAAACATTGTTAATACCATTTCATACGAAAAACATTGTTAATACCATTTGATACAAAAAACATTGTTAATACTATTTCATACAAAAAACCCAAAAAAGCCTAGCAAGACATCCGATATCCTTTGCAGAAACCACCTCCAATTGTCTACAGTTTCACCAGATACAATTGCAAAGGCAAAAGGAAAAACCTCTACAAGAAAAAAAAGTACACTGTTAATACTATGTCGATAGAACTATATTCCTAGTAAAAATCACATTCTACATATCATAAACTTCAAG